ACCCGATGCGAGCACGTAGTGGCTCAGTCACGTTGCTTAAAATATGCACTTACCAAGCCGTGGGCTTGTATTAATCTGAATGAGTATATTTAATTTATCTTTGCTAATTGTCTATTAAAAAGTGAAACTTCTCCCACTCCTTCAGTAATTCAGCTTTAGTGTGTAAAATGTCCAGAGTCAAAGCACTACAGATGTGTTGAAGCTAATGCTGCTTGTATGAAATACAACAGGAACCACATTATAACATGCTTGAGTTTTATTGTCATGTTTTAACATCTGGTTAGAGTAGAAATGTTGTTGTTGGACTGGCTGTGATCAGTGTTTGGTCAATGGTTCTGATTGATTTCCCTTCTTCTCAGCTTCACAGTTGTTTTTTTATCCTCGGCCAGCTCTCTGGCTTCCACCTCTATAGACTATAAATACAGTCTGAACTAGCAGAACCCAAACCTGAACCCTGTTTATCTTTAAAAAATCAGTGTTTTAGAACTAATAAAGCTATCATCTATGTTGTGTATCAGATCCAGATGTGAACACCTGGAAATTAAAGCTGAAATGTTGTTCTTGTCTCATATTTTGATGTCAAACCCAGATATTTTCAATCGACAGCCAAAGGAAATAAACTGGCCTCACTGTTCCAGTATTTTCAGAGGGAAGCATAAATTCAAACGTTTCTAAACCTGAAGAAACAGTTTAAAAACCTAAATTCAAGCCAACTAGAATTAAAAATGAATTGCAAATCCAGGCTGGTGTCAACATAAGAAATCTGCACTGACAGAAGTTTTACGTGGATGTTTATCTTTGCATTTCTCTAAAGCTTCCTGTTGGGTAGATAAAGTCCTAACACTGGATGATGACCTCACTGTGCACTCTATGAACTGTTGCTCCCTGAAAGTTCTTCGGCGTTCTCTACTATTTACTTTGAAGCTCTCAGTGGCGTCTTTTACCGCGGACCTCCAAAGAGGGCGATTCAGAGCGAGAGTTTCCAAGGTGTTCACAATATTGCCGCTTGTCCTGAGCCTGGTTCTGCTGGAGGTTTCTTCCTGTTAAAAGGGAGTTTTTCCTTTCCACTGTTGCCATTGTGCTTGCTCAGGATGGGAGACTGCGACAAAGTGAAGATTCAACGAGCCTGCTGGCTTCCTTAGATTGAGCTAGGATTTTTAGGAGATGGTCCAGCCATTGGAAATTAGATCCTTAAGCTTCCCAGAGGTACTTGCTTGTCCAGTGTGATATTGGAGTTCCTTATCAAGTGTAGCAC